CGCCACTGAAGCAGTACTTGGGTGACCTGGTAGATGGATAAAGTCAGCCATCTTGAGTAGACTTTACAAATCAAAGTGACATGCATCAACCTACAGTAATGGTTACTCTTTCCACAAAGTTTGAAGAAAATGGTGTCAAAATACCTGATTAGGTATAAACTTTTGAGCAAATCACTCAAAGCATGTATGAGATAAACACGTCTGTTAGGAATACAGTTTGTCAAAATCAAAATGGCCACCAGTTGGTCATTTGAAAGTAAATCGGCCAACATATATCAAAGAACGTTAACTGGCTCCGAACATGTCAAATTACCAGGTTTTAGTGCATTTTCACAACAAAAATATCTCCCAGTTGGCAGTATTCGACCGAATCACGAAATCACTGCACATAAATTTGTATCAGATAAGGTAGTAAGTGTGAGGTTTGATATAGCTACAAATGCACACATTCACCCACTGGGACTAAAACACAAGTCCTCATTTCAGACTTCATCCAAACAGGGACTAAAAATGTGCACTAGGCATTATGACAAGATGGGCACCCTTGCCATGTTTAGCACCATGTGCATACATTGTTAACTTAAGTTCACAATTCTTGCAGAAAAAAAAAAGAATAAACTGAACGAACCAACGATCATAGTTGGTATAGTAATTTTCCCTTTTTGGAGAAGCATTTATTCTCCCAAAACAGATTCTAGAGGATCAAATGAAAATGTTGCAAACAATCAAGGGACCCATTTGGGCCAGTGTTTGGGGTTTAATAGGACACCTGGCGGTCTGCAAAACAGTGGAGTTTTTTTCTGAGCTAGGGATCCAGTAATGCCAAAAAGTTTCAATCAAAATCTCACATCGACCTGGTACAAGGCAAGTATGGCTGAACGTAATACAATCTATCAATTGTTTGAGTTGGATAAAGTCAGCACATCAAAGAAACATGCATTAAGCAACTGCTAACTACCAAATTACTTTTGATGATGCTATAAATATGGATTTTCACCCCTATATAGACTATCATAAAATTTTTAAGGTTATTCTTCTTTTCCATCCCAAACAAATTACTGATGAAGTATGGCACAAGGATACTTGGTAACCTAGGTATCCAGGGGATAAGTACCAATGCAAAATAGAATGTAGATAGATAGAACGGAAGCATAATTTTCAAGCCTTTCAACAACATTACAAAAAATTGTTAGTGCATAACTTCTCACTGGTAATAAGTCGTAATCAAAACACTTGAAACATTGGAAAAAAATGTTTTTGTTTTTTTATTTTGAAAGAGTTAACATTTGGCTGAGAACAAGCACATGGAATAAATCAGTAAATAACATTAATGTATTCAAAAATGTTAAAACGTTGAGTCTTTATAAATGTCTGAAAACCACAACATGTTAATAAAACTGATGGTTACAGACACCATTTTTTAAAATAAAAACTGTTCACATAACAAGATTTTTAAAATGCACAACCTATTGGCGTCAAACATCACTCAAGTTGGTTATAAAAACAGAATCTCCACTTCTCGAGACTACTTTTATTATTACATGCTTTATGTTCATGTAGAATAAAGAATAGGGTGATCAAGGGTTTGCTGACCAGTGAAGATTATATTACAAGCTTTCACTGTCAAATAAATGATTTAGAATTGGGAAATCTGTGGTAGGACTATTGTGGCTAATGTTGTTAACCATTGATGTATATCAAACTAGATACATCCATGTTCCCTGATGTAGGATCACAAATTAGGACAAGGTATCTGATAGATAATGTATCAAGGCAATTCCACTTGGGGAACTTTCCTATTGGAGAAACCTGGTTCAAAATGATGCACCTAAATCTGTATACATGTTATTCACAGAAATAGAAGCAAGGGGCATTCAATCAGGATACTATGTTTACAGTTTTATTAACTGAAGCATCAATAAACAAGTTGTCCACTGTATCAGAGTATGGTTAGGAACAACAGAATATAATTCATAAATTCAATTAAGATTTCACACAATATACAATGAAAACGAAAATTACAAACTTGACAATAACGGTTCTTATACAGCTCTCTTATAAGCAAAACTGGCCATGTAAAAAGAGTCTTATTTGCATAGATTTCTTAAAAACCTAACTAACTAGTTGTTTGTGAAATGTAAAACAATCAACATCAATCAAATCTCCTTTGTGCACATAGTTAGGCAACCAGTAAACTCGAAACTCAATTGGAAATGCACATAATTAACAAGTTGATGAACTATAAAGAAGTACATCATTGGTACTGTATTCGCTCAATTAGAAGTACACATCAGGCATCTATGGTCAAAATACGTATACAATCAATGTAAAACAATTCAATTGGAGAGGCTCATTATTAAAGCAAATACAGCATGGTGAATAATCTAATATGCAGACTAAAGCTGTATGACAGCCAACAAGTTAATGTGAAAAGAAGATTGTATGTCATGTGACATTAAATACGCTAAGTGTTCCTGTGTAAGACTATGTTTCTCAAATATTTATTACATGCATAATGTTGTGTACATTCTGTCAATTAATGTTCCGATTATTTGAATAACTGTTAAATAGGATACATAATAAGCAGATGAATTAATTCCTGTTTATTATCAGACCTTATACAAGATGTATACATACACTTAGCTTTCTCAATGGATTGAAACGTGTTAGAAAACACTGTAAACCACCCAATTGCTGTTGCTAGTAATTTTCACGATTTACTGACTTCACAGTATTTGTAAAAATAAAATTTTGTGATAGTCGCTGACATTCTATGTTGTACATGTATGACCCCCAGAAAAAAATTCTCACTGCTACACAAATTTCTTGATTGCCACTGACTTGCAAAATTCAAGAAAATGTTTTTACAGTAGTTAAGATATACGAAGAATAACTGGTTGATTTGTATTTATAATTTAGCTAATTACAAATCTTTGACAAGACAGTCTCTGAAAGAATAGATAACCCGTATATGTGAAGAATGTCAGAAATACTTGATTTTTTAGCTAATCGACTACTGTAGAATCCTTTATTTTCGCTGAAAGGATGATTCTGTGAAAATAAAATCCAGCGAATATACTTTTTCCCTATTTTTCACATTCAACACACCCAAAATGCCTTTTCAGCGAAAATTAATTCCAGCTAAAATAAAGTATTTCACAGTATTTGAATTTGAACACGAAATAAATGCATGTGCATTTTGTGACAATGTAAATCATGTGTGATGTTTGAACATGATCAATCTATGTCAGAAATATGGCTCCAGAACAGCATGCAGTAAAAGAGAATGAACACCAACTGGCCACAAGACCACAAAACAAGTTGTATATTGTATGTATGAAGTGTGAGCATAATTGGTACAGGCATGTCTGAAATACAGGTGTAGATGCAAGAACACACCAAATTGAAAACAAGTCATTGTCAATGACACGTCCCTGTTCCGTTCATATTTGAGTGACAAATACATTCAAAGCAGATCATGACCGAAATGCACCTGCATATGTACAACACATTGTACTAAATCTGAACAAAATCCATCCATGCATGACTGAGATCCGGTTCCGAAATTGTAAAAATACGTGATTTTGATGCATTTTCGGCCTTAAAATGGCCATCATTCAGCTATTGTTAAGCGGACCATGAAACAAATGCACATATGTATTTGTGAC